GAAAACAGAGTTGCCCAGTTGCTCCGCAAAAACCACACAAGTCCTAAGCTTCACAGCCCCTGGCCTCATCCGCCAGCTGAAAGAGCTGATCCATGCCTCGCTGCCAGGGCGCGGTGAATTCGTCGCAGCCGCAGCGCTTGGCAGTGGGCAGGAGCCAGCCTTCGTCCCAGCCCAAGGATCTTGAGAGAGATTCGAATTGTTTGAAACCTCCTTTTGGGAATACCAGCGTGAAATTAAATAGGTACCTTCCGCGTATTTGCATGCTGGTATCCTCCATTTTATTCATTTGAAAAGGATCCCAGAAACAAAGAAACAGCCAAACAAACGATCAGACAACCAAGCAACGAAACAAGAAATATGTGAATGAACTAAGAAATAAGCGCAGGAACAAATACAGAAAATCACACAATCCGACAATACATGACATGGCATTACAACGCAGCATTACATCATACATCACAAAGAAGCAAACACACCAGCAAGCAAGCAAGCAAGCAAGCAAGCAAGCAAGCAAGCAAGCAAGCGAGCGAGCAAGCGAGCGAGCGAGCGAGCGAGCAAGCGAGCAAGGCGCAGCACAGCACAGCGCAGCAAAGCGCAGCAAGGCACAGCAAGGCACAGCAAGGCACAGCACAGCACAGCAGAGCACAGCACAGCACAGCCCGCACACACACACACATGCGCCAAAAGCAGACATATCTTCTCCGGTAAATATTCGAGGGTTTAGGATTCATTGGAGGAAAGAAGCAGGATGTTGCAACACTTCATTAGGGAAAATCCAAACGCCAACCAAGGCGCTCAAGTGGTTCCAACATATTCTGCCTAGCTTCAAATTAGATATGAAATCCAAGATAGAGTAACATGTCATAAACTTTGATACCCGTCCAAACCTTGATCTGCTTAAGTGTTCAGCATGGCGCTACCGAGTGATGCCAGCCCGTGTGAAAAGATTAGTATACAAGTAAGGACACACCCTGGAATGCCTAGGCTAAAAGCAGCCAAGCCCTGCATTCAGAAGGCCACACCTTTCAGGGAATGGTGGTCGCTGCCATGCCTGGTGTCTCCCCTCAAGTCTCCAAATGTCTTCCTTCTCTGTCCTCTTCCAACCCAAATTTCCCGAGTTCACATCGCCCCAGTTTGTCCAAACTCCAAAGCCCCCCCCCGCCCCCAATCGCCAACCCTGCTTTTTTTTTTGCAAACGCTGCCTCCCAGCACCAGCAGGCGCTGGGCAAGGCACATGGCCAACATGGCCAGCGCCACCAGACTCAGCACCAGTGCAGAGGTCCCGCTGCAGCTCAAGGGCCCACAGGGCCGATAGAACTGCCGGCACCTGATGAACCAAAGGATGGATGTGGCAGAGCTGTGCCCACGCATGCACCCAAAGCACCCCAAGCACCGCATCAACACGTAAGTAAACATATCCCGACAAACTCTGTGCGAGTTGGTAGAAGGATACATCTATACCTGTTTTAGGACCGCCGTCAGCCCTGTTCACGATGCCTTGCATGGGCGTTTGTGCCCAGGCTCACTCCGACTCCCACCATCACATCACTCATCCAAACCATCGATGAAGGACTGGGCTCACGCTGGCCTAGACTCAAAGCCTTGAGTGCTCGACTGAAGTGAGCTGCCTTGTGACTTGCCCTCAACAATGCCGGTGTTGCTTCGCCTGCTGCTTCAATCAGCGTACCGAAGCGTGTTGACAGAGCAAAGCAGTGTAATTGTCTCTGCGAGGAGAATCTCCGCAAATAAATCATGCTACCCAAGTTACAAGAAAAAGTGCCGAACAACCACCGCAGTGATCATCCTTGCAAGTGGCCCAGTCAAGTCAGATCTTTGCAACTCTACGCATGTGGGCAAACAACTGTGTTTGTTGCAGGCACCCACCTGAAAAAGAACAGAAACAAACATGCTTAAATCCATGCCCAGAACGGCGAAGCGATCCAATCAAATCCTCTTCTGGCCAAGTCACAGCTCGCAAGCTGGAGAGAAGCTCCGCATGCGCCACTGCATGAGGCAACCTGCGCAGCCCAGTCTGAGCTCCACCAGCCCACAAAAGCGCCAACAAGCGTTGGATGACTCAGCTTGTTTGCTGGGAGCATCAAGCTCTACGTAGACTGCGTCTCTTGCACAAAGACTGGGCCCAAGTCAATCATTCAAACTCATTAAGCATTTGCAGATGCAAGACGATCTCGAGAAAGGAAAGCAACTACACGAGGACATCTTGAACATCAGGAAGGGCCGATCAGCTGAATGGGGCAGGGTGGGTTGTGATGGCCCTACGCCAAGAAGCCATGAAGATTCATCCACATCGAGTGCGTGTATGTTTCAAAACAAGAACCACAACCCAAGGAGCCACACACACTTTCACAAGTCCCCGAGCTGAAGTTCATGTCAGACGTCCGAAGAATGAGCCGCAATGAAGCCCTGGGCCCAGCTTGCAATGCCACATGAGCCAAGTGTCGATCAGTCCAGCTTCGCTCTCGATCAGTCTGAGCGTGCGCAGATGTTGGGCTTGATTCGCACGCGCGCGCGCGTGTGCGTGCGTGTGATTTCATATTTGCAAAACAGTCAATAACAGCATCTTTCAATGGTGCCTTACTCTCTGCTGTGCTTGGCTAATGAGATCCTAAATAAGTCAGGTCTGGAAAGCAAGTCTCATCACAAAGTTGGGCCCTAGGCAAGAACTAAAACAAATGGAAAGCAACACATTCGAACTTTTCTACACTCCACGCTTCCACCACCCTGACCGACAAAGCTCAGCATTAGACGAAGTCTTGCTAGGACTGACTTTTGGGGCTCGTGTTTCGTCCACCCATGCACACTCTACTTGCCCCTTTCTACCAACGACGTGCTTAGACATTGAGTTCGGAGGACGAGGGTTGAAGGAAGGCAGCTGGCTGGGCCTTCGTGCACGAAGGCCAATGATCCCTTGCAGCCGCATGGCTGGCACAGCCCGCCGGGCTCTTGGCAAATGCGGCAGACCTGGCAGGAACATACGGATCTCTTCACCGGCCCACGCTTCGAGTCCCATTTCAGGATGAGGGTGGCCAGCCCAAGTATGACGTGCATGTCCATGCGGCCGCAATATGATGACCATGAGCGCAAGTCAAGTTGTGCACTATGAGGCAAGAGCGTTGTGCAGAAGGCAACGAGAGGCACCAGGCCCTTGGACGCCTGCGGATTCACAATTGGTCTCTTTGGGCTGTGCAAAGACGTCAGTGCGACAAAATCGCGATCAGCCTATCTCCAAGTGACGGTATTTGTAGGTGATTTGGAGGTTAGGGTGCAGCCCTCTAGACAGCAGCCTGATGTGTAGCTTGCCAAACAATCGATGCCAGAAAACTAACAAGGCATCGAACTTGGGGATGTTTTGCTTGCGGCTCAGTCAGCTCTAAGTGGCCCAGATCTCTGAGCAAGCGAGGTGCAGCGCATCTTTGCGAGCTTCCCACCACGTCATTTGCTTTCAAAGCCCAGTGCAAGGCTCCTGACGTTCCCTCCGTCCGCATATGCATGACTGAGAGTTGGACCCGCTCCTGTGCATCAAACACATGTTTTCTTCTATTGTCAGAATATGCAGCATTTTATGGCATCAATAGTAAAATCAAGAGACTTGTGAGTATCAACTTTCAAACACATCCGGCAAAATCAGCATCGCATTAAAGAGGCGATGCTGCTTGACATACCGGTCACGGAGCACTGCGTGAAACACCTCAAACCCAAGTAAGATGTGGATCAGCCTTACCGGATGGACAAAGAAACAGCTGCTGCCAGTTCCAATGGCCTAAGAATACCAAAATGTTCAAACAAACATGACAACACAGTGATCCTAAGCGATAGCCTTGCCTCCTCCTCACTCATCCAGCAGCACCCATGCGCATAGAAGCGCGCAAATCGGCTAAAATGTTTCGGTTGGCAAACATGCTCGGGTTATACCCAACTGCAAAATCATGGCTTGCCGAGTTTGCCTGCGATTTACAAGCTTGGGTTGACAAGCCCAAATACCGCCCTTGGATTTGACTGCCCACTTCCAAACATGCGATTCATGACAATTGACTCTAGATGACAGCCGAAGAATGAAGGGAACAGGAACCTTAGCAAGCTGGGATCAGAATACTTAGATTCAGCCGATTGTGATGCCGATGCACATGATTTCAATCAATTCTGTCAGTCTTAGATTACAGGTGCCACCTGTTGCACAAAATGGCGTCAGAACACGGTATAGTCCAATGCTGCACAGTCTGCTTGTAACAGTGGCAGGCTCATGCCGCTGACACGGATACCAAGATCAGAAACTCTTGCCAGCACGCAATCACAGTTGGTAAATGGTATCTTCATCGGTTCATATCCTTAAGAGAAAAATGTCAGGCCTACCCGGGCCTGTCTATGTCGCTGGAGCCAAGAGGAAAAGTCCGGCCTTTGTACGGCAAAAACGACTCAGATGCTGGTCAAATTTCAATCGACCACTTCATATCTGATATCTGTCAATGGGAAAGGAAGGGTCTTCAGCAATTGAGAATCACTGTAGCAGCAGTTTTCCGCGTGTGATTAACAAACAATTGGAGACACCATCTCAAGCTACTGCGCCAAACGATCAAGCCAGCCTTGGCAGGCTCTTGCGTCAAATGACTCCCGTTGGATGCTGCAAGACCAGGAACACACTTGGGACATGTTCATGCCAGCAGTCCAGCACCACTGAACCAAGCTTGGAGCCTGGCACACGGAAGTTCCCAAGGAGAATTTTAACCAAGAAAAGACAGGCAAATACTGCATCACTGTCCACCCCCAAGCGCTGTGCATTGAGGGGATCAACACCAAGAAACATGGAACCACCCACACACACTCAGTATGTGCAACAAGGAAAGCGGCAGCAAACAGAACCTCAGAAGGAGCAAAGCAACACTCGTACAAATGTATATTTATGAGTGTGACCTGCTTTTTCTACAAGCAAATACTGTGCCACCCGAACAACACATCACCTGAGGGTTATCTGAGGGTGCGGCTGACAGCCTTGCTCCAAGGCTTTCACTGCTGAACCCAAGGTCACCACCTCACGGAACGTACGGCAAGGATGCTCCAGTGCCAGTGCTTCATCTGACATGCCTGGTGCGAGTTGTTGTGCATTCGCCACTCAAGGCAACTCACTGCATTTACAGGTTAAGCTGACAGATTTGAAAAAACGTGAGCTCCAGCAAAGAGCTTCAGATTGAATGTCACCGTGGGCAGTAATCACAAGTTGTGGTTGACATTTTGCACTTAGTGCAAGTGCCCAAGCTTTGGTCGAACAGTTTGGGCACATGCTGCAATGTTGCGGATCATCCGTGTAAAAGGCCGGAAAATCCTTGAATTGGCACAGAACTCCAAACCGAACCTCACTTGACGCACACACACACACACATCGCTCACATATTGCCACTATACTAACTTGCAGCAAACGATGAACTGTTTCTGTGACATCGATTGTTGAGTGGAAGAGCTTAGCAGCTCAAGTTGTTGGCTGTGTTGGCGCCATTCAAACTACACAGTCGACCTTCAAGAGGCATTCGCAAGCCGACATCCAACCGTTCGGTTCAGCACCTTGAGCCGATCTAAAATTTAGACAGGCAACAATAATAATCGCAACTGCGAGCAACACAGTTCGGGCATCGCGACACGGTGAAACTTGACGCTTCGGAAGGTTGTCATGCTGGACAAGCTGTGCATTTATATGGGATGCAACCTAGAGTACTTCCAAGTGCTTTCTGGTGTTTTTCAAAAGGCCGTCAAACAGGCTGTCACTGATCAACCCCCTGCCGAGCATGAGAGACACTGTGGCGCGACAGGCTCTGCTGCTCTTTATACAAGTGGTGCTGTGCCCTCGGGCTTTGCGCTCAGCGCACTTGGACGAAGCTGTCCAATTGTCTAGTACCAAAAACACAGGGAAACAATGGGAAGTTGGCTGTTCATGAGCTCGTATGATGGCTCGCTGAGACCCGCACGGTGTCGGAAGCTTCGGGAGAACCTAAAGGCTGTGATTCTGTGTAAGTGAGAGTACCTGTAGTGTTTCCCAGAACTAGGCCTTCAAAACACCACGATGCCATCGTTTAGTTGAGACATAATCCCCTATTAAGATCAAAATATGATATATTTATATGCATGTCCGCCAAACCATTTTTGCGTGGCCCCCACCTCCCGAAAGGACAACGATGCTCCTCGACAGTCGTATTAGCGGTCTCTGATTGATCAATGTTAAACTAGTACCAAATAGACCAATACGGAACCGGTGCTCAGCGCCAGTTCTACTTGACAAATGGGTAAATGTGCAGATGTGCGCAGGCAATGCATGCATTTTCAGGGTGAAGATCTCACCTGCAACTCAAGATGGCACACGCTCCATGTGTAAACTGGTCATCCCGCCCCATCAACATGCTTCACGCGACGAGACTGGGAGTTCCAAGTATGTGCCGTTGCAAACAGGCACTGCAAAAGCGGCTTGATATCCGCTCGAGTAGAATCGCTACCATTGCCCCAACCTCGAGCCCGAACTCCCTTCAGCTGTGCTGCATCGGAGAGCCGTCTCCCAGAGCTTGACCTTTGAAGGCGCGTGCAAGAAAATCGTCATGACCCACCGGTTTTTGTTATTTGGGTAAGGGATATGCAGCCATATGCCCTTCAAAGGAATCGATGGGAATCGACATAACTTGCAATGACTGGTTCAAAAGGCACTTTCCGGGAAAGGCTTCATGCACAAGCCTTCTTTTGCCCAAACAAGCAGAAGCTTTCCTCGTGGCTCACATGGCTGAATGAGAGCCAGCAGTGTACGGAAAGTGCAATACGCGCGGAAGCAATTGTCCTTTTCTCAATCAGGCAATGCTGTTATGTTTCTGTGCTTGCGTGTTGACAGTACTGTCTAATATAGCAACACCTTTTACAAGGCCTGTACAAAAGTAGCTTCATAATTTTTGGAGAGGCCAATGCCACCAGCATGTTGAAAAAAACTACGTTTTTTTCCCCCCCTTTTCATGAGCTTTCCATGTCTGAAGTCTGAAAAGGACTACTGCGCCCCTCCTTAGGCCGCGCGGATTGGTGGCCGAGGGGCACGGCTGCAGGCGCTCACCGCAGCGCTTTGGGCGAATGCATCAGGAGGCACCCGGCGCGAAGGGAGCGAGCGGAGCCTGGGATTTGGCTTGAGGTTGACGGATTCGGAGGCAGGGTTTCGGAGGGTATTTGGGGTTGAGCTGGCAGTCTTCAAGGGCTTTTGGGGGTCTGGGGTAACTAACTTTGGAGCCCTGGGGACGGGAGTGACGGTTGATTCAAAATGAAGCGAGAAGGGCGAGAGTGACTAGCGGTCTTTGAGACAGTGTTTTGAGGAGAGGCCATCACAAGAGTAGGTCTGGAAAGCTGAGGCTTGCAACATTTAGCCTCCGATGCCAGGATCTTGGATTTCCACACTGGATATTTGTGCAATTGCAGGACTCAAAATGGGGCTGACCTTCAAAAACCCATCTGTCGCTGACCTATTGGACTTTCAAAGAGCATTCTGGAGCAAAGTCCCGCTCATTGAAGCATATCAGAAACAGGAAAGCAACGCTTTACCGTGCAGTTCTCCTATTCTCTAACTACCATTAGCCATGTCTCTTCTAGATGCTTGGCCCCCAAACCGCACCTGTGGAAGGCTCACAAACGCAGCCTTTGCGCTTTCTGGGATGTCAGTTTCCGTTTCTGCCTTACAGTAAACAATCCACACCTTCCAATGCATCTATCGAGCCCTTCATCGAGAACAGCGTCACCTCTCGTTCAGAAGGACATCCAAACAAGGAGGTTGGTCTGTTGAACATCTCGGACTGCTATGAGTTGCCTTCGAGTCTCAAGATTACTCGAGCAAATGACTAACATCAGTATGTGAACCATAATACAGAAACATCCTTGCAGGGTTTCGATTTCACACCAAATCAGCACAAAGAAACCGCCATGTATGGCCTGTCCTTCCCTGGACAAGTTGCCAAGCACTCTTGGCCCATCCCTCCAGCCTTTCAGCCCTCCAGCCCTGTAGCACTTGGTATCTGGGCATCCGTATCTGGGCATCCGAGCATGTCGAGGCCTTCAGCCCAGGCGCTGCACTGATTGCAGGCCTTGCACATGCCACAAATTCGGTCTGGTCACGTGCAAAATGCCAAACACGCCATCTTGATCCTCCCGCCCACAAACCTGTGGTGGTAGCGCAGTGACGAGACTGCTTGCCAAGACTAGTTCTATCGACATGTTGCATCCGACGTGCTTTCTTTGTCGGGAGTCCCCAAGCTTTGCACTCGAATCCCAACCTGGGCACCAGGCACTGAGAAGGGTGTTGAAACTCGTGGCATCTGGCGACAGGAACGCCGCCAAAGCCTGAGCAGCTGAGCGCAACATGCGAGTCCGAAAATAGCTGAAACAATGGATCCACTATTCAATCTGTCCGAGAAAGAGTCTAGGGAGTAATATTGACATTCCGAAAAGTCCCGCTGAAGAGATGCCTACCACTAAAAACACAAAAGCAACCTGTAGTCCAAAGCTCGCCTATTATTCCCCTGCAAAAAACAGCAGTTCAGCAGCACGATTGATGAGTAGCATCGCGAGAAACATAAATCGTATGTGAATGCCCTCAGGGAGTAGCAGCATGTTGTTGCTACAATTCAAACTGGTTGTGGCCTGCAACATCAGCTCGTAAGATGCACAACTGGTTGCTTCCGCCAGTCTCGAAGACTAATGAATTTTAGTTGTTGCCTTTTGCAAGAAGCGGAGCATGCCTTTCAACCAACTCGCACCTTGGATAAGTATGGCTTGTATGAATTCCTATGTTTTTTTCAAAAAGTGATCAGTGCCCAATTGTTGTGATGATAAAGGCTGTCGGCTCTCGTCCCCAATCCCCGCTAAGCATCTTCAAACCAAAGACCAAATGCCCAACGTGAGTGAGGCGGTCGACGCTCCGAGTGGATTGATAGCGCCACCTGTCCCCGGGCCTGCAGAGTCTCAACCGCGCGAGTCCAAAGGCCAGCCGCACTGAGAACCTGCCACGCGGTAGCTGACAATGTCAACAGGAGATTCAATGGGTGGGCCGGCCTGGTATTTTTTCCCGTTCCAAACACCTAAAGTGAACATGATACCTGAGACTCACAAAGGCCCAGGCCCTCCGTTTCCACCGTGAACAGTCCGGCACCGATCTAGGCAAGAGGGGAACCTATGTTGTCTACATGTTAACATACTCAGCAAACAAATCAACATTGAAATATCCAAGATTGTTGATTCGTAACCTGGAATAACATCAACATTCAAGCGAGGCTATCCTTGCAGTATCTGTCCAGGTTGCAGTGTGTATCAAGCCAGTTTTGCGGTGTTGAAGCTGATGACGTCCACGGGTACCTGAGTGCGTGAGTCAATAAGCAGCAATCATTGCTTGGATTGACCGTCAATTCGGTCCAAAAAAGCAGCACGCAGATTTGAAAACCATTGCTGCTTGTTTTGGCACACGATCCGATGCAACAAGTCGCTGGGTGAAGCCAAACGTTTGGCCAGAAACTTCGCACCCGAAATGGAGTCTGAGAAATGCCTCTTGAAAAGTCCCTCCTGAGACAGCGTCTTTCAGCTTCCATGTAAATGAGAGGGACGCCACGTAGGGTGCTTCCACTCGAAACAAGAACTCCATTTGTCTTGAGCCCCGGCAGACATGCACCACCCTTGCTTGATTCCCTCTTTGCATAAGACATACGGGACATCAAACTCTGAAAAACATAGGCTGCCTTCGAGACTTTAGTTAACACATCCAATATCCAGCAAACTTTGTCTGGAAGCCCCATACTTGCTTAACGTGGGGACCTCATTCTCCTCTGCCCGGCCCTGCCCGTCTGGAGCGCACTGCGCGGCATCTGGTCTCCGCCAGGGCCTCGGTTGAAAGCCTGGGCCAAAACGCCACAAGGGAACGTGTTGAAGACATGAACTCGTTTGCTTCTTACTATCAGCTCTTCAAGTTAGAAGAACAAACGTGTTCTTCCTTTCTTTCTTTCTTTCTTTCTTTCTTTCTTTCTTTCTTTCTTTTCATTCTTTTTTTTTTTCTTTCTTTCCTTTTTTTCTTTTCATTTCATTTCTTTTCTTTCTTTCTTCCATTCACAACAGGGAACATATTTGGGTGGTTGAATTGCATATCAGTAGCCATCCCCCTCACAAAAGGAAGTGATAGGCCATCCAACAACATGTGAGCTTGTTTGGCGCCAGGAGCCACACATGTCCATGTCTATGAGAGAGGGTAGGCCTAGGAGCATGGTCATCAGGGGCAAGCCCCGCTGGCAACTGATTCCACACTGCAAACTAGACATGGGCGGCTTGCCTGGAGCATTGGCTGCCCTTCTGACCATCGTGATGCGTACAATGTTGAGGGCCAGCTGTCATGCATCCGCTGGTCTCAGCAATGCCTGCCTCCAGTCCCCGGCTCGCTCTGCAGCGCAAATGATGCAGTTGTGGTGGATGATGTTGGCCTCCGCAAGTGGCGCTGCGAACATGAACGGAAGATGCTTTGCTTCACATGTCTGAAAACTGCACACATTTCACAGGGGTCCCGTTTGGGTCCTAAACTGCTTCGCTTATCAAGCCTTTGCAAGATCGTTTCAACTGGCTCGTAGAGACTGACACCAGTGGACTCGCCAGGCCTTCCTGAGCCTTGTTAGCCTGGCACGCCTTCAAGCGGGAGCCCACGCGTTTCCCGGGGGCATAGATTTTCCCAGAAGGTGCTCTAAAAGGGGCCAACCTTCACATATATATATATATGCATACATAATATGTATGTATACATATATATATATATATATAAATGTATACCAATCAACGCCAACACACCCAACAATCTGCCTCTGCTCTGCCATACATCAAACTGTTCGAACTGCGGACGACTCACCTTCACACCAAAGCGACCTCCACCAAAGCTGCTCGCAGCCGGCGCAGCAGAAGCGCCGCCTCGCCCGGATTCTTCCGGCGCACCTGTCTCGACACGACAAACAAATGCGGGAACAACTTCCGTTCAGCTTAGTTTGTTGGCAGCACATGTTTGCTCTCTTGTTGCGTATGACCCTGCTAGAACCTCATCTTGCGCAGTGGTGCATGTTCTTGGTCGGCCCTAGGCCGAGGCAAAACATTGCTTATGCATTGCTGGTGCGATGCCATCGTTATGCTGCGCACGGTGAGCTCTTGCCTTTTGACTCGTACTTCAAGGCTGGTGTCTGGATCAATTGGCAGGAGCGAAGGCAGAACAACAGGCGACGGACAAAAAAAACACCTGGATACGAACAAAGCACAAAAAACCAGAAAATGAGTTTCCATAGCGAGCAGTGTGGTCAAAAGCAGTCAAACAATACGGTGTGAGAGGCAGCAGGGAAGCTTGAGCTTCAATGTCAACGTGCACAAGCGCCCCGATACGCAGGTTACATATAATAGTCCAGTTTGTTTTTGGCAGTGAACGGCTTCTTGGATCATTTCCCCACAAGAGCCGCAAAAACTTGTTTCCTTGCATTCTTGCAATGCCGCTTGTGGGCAACGCCCAAGGCCAGTTGCTTGTCAGCCACTTGCAGCTTGAACAGTGCAGTGTTCCAAACCTTCAGCTTGACGTTGGGACGTCGGAAAATACTGGTTGGGTGGCTGGCTAGCAGATGCTTGCTTGCTAGCTGTCTGACTGCCTGGTTGATTTGCAAAAAGGGGACGGGCTGAAAGCCGAAATCCCTTGCCATCCCTCGCCCGGCGCGCCAAGTGTTGCAGCTCCTTGGTGAGGACGCTGGGTTTGCACCTCGCGCCGGTGCAGCGGGTGCGGCCATGCGCAGATCTGAAGTTGTATGAAACTGAGGCCCTCAGTGGCCATGGATCAAAACTTGCGCGCACGCACAGACACTGGTCGGTGGCCATATTTGCTGAGAGGAACTGGAGAAAACACCCACAAAAAAGAGAGGGAGAAAGAGAGAGAGAGAGAGAGAGACAAAGGAGGAAGTGAACAATTGAGATGCATACATCCAAGCCACGCGTTATAGCAGCTCATGAAGGATTGCCAATGTTGTTTCCAGGCCAGCTGTCTTGCCAGATTGCATTTGCCTGCCAATGAGCAGGCCCTTAGCCGGCCCTTTGGCCCTGCGAGCGTTCACCTTTGAAAAACAAAACAAACAACCTCTGATAGGGGTTGCGTTGATTTTTGACGGATATGTTTAGCTGCCGTGAACCATCTTGCTGCCCGCCTGGGGCCCGGCATACCGGTATATCTTGTGTTATTTGTATCCTTTTGCAGCTGTATTCTCCATGGACAAGCAGCTCTCCAACTGCATTCTCTGTCTCATGCTCGCCAAAAAAGAGGTGCCAAGCAAAGCAATGGACCGTTGGACTGAGATTCAAGGAGCCAAAGCAAGGCAAAGCAAATGATTAAGTTGTTTGAATGTCATTTTAGTAGCCAAGTCTTCAAGTGCCAGCGGAATGTCTCGCAAATATGTAAGCGAAAGTGATCAAGCAGTTTTGAAACTACTGGATAAGAGCCGTTGTCCGGCTTTGCCTCGACAAGTCAACTCCTGCGGGCTGGCTCGAGCTAGCGCAAGCTACTTCAGATTTGGGGCTTCAGCCATTCCGAGTCATATGTCTCACGACTCATTCACGGAAGTCTACACGCCCAGCAGCCAATCTCGATCCACGGCACTGTGCCGCTTAGCTGGGGGATTGCAAGGCCCCCCCGCTTCTGCACGTGCGCTTGAGCTGCTCCGGGAACCTCCTAGCAGCCAATGCAATTTCAATGACACTGCAACGCAATTCCAAATGCAACACTTTTGATGGTCATCATGGTTACCAGGTCACTTCCCTCCTAGCTGAGTATGTTTCTCTTGATCAGACAGACGGGCATGTCAAAGAGTTAATTAGTCCAATCCAAGAACGTGGTTCGTTTGGCTACACAAACTTGAGCAATGCCCCAAAGAAGCTCATCATGTTTGGCTTTTCATCCACGCGCTGTGGCACTATCGATGGCGGAGATCCAGCACTACTTGGATGTTCCAAATACTGGAATGAATTGAACACCCCTAGCAGTTGCAGTGCAGAATTCCTTGCATCGGCATCTTCGGTGCTTCAACCTTATGCTGAAGTAGAACCGTCCAGTCACCCATCGACTGGACATCGCGCATATCTTTATGGCTGGTGGGCCCTAAAGAATCAGCGGAGTCTTCATCTTGAACCTCTGACAGGGTCAGAGGATCATTTCGTTCCAGAGATTTGTTCAACATGTTGGCCCTTCCATTTCCATACCGCTTGCCGCGACCCCGGCTAGGCCCACTTGGCCACAGCGCCCTTCCCTTTCAAGGTGGTCTCCATGAGCCTCAGGTGGAAGCCGCTCGAACATGTCCGCGTGAAAAGCTGACGAGTGAGCAAGTTCGTTCCGAGTCACCCGTCAATTTTCAACTTGCGAACGCAAGGCAAGAAGTGAACAGAGCTTGCCCTGTCACCCAGAACATCGGAACTGCCATTTTCCGCCTCCAGAAGCTTCAAAAGTAGCAGCCCCTCTTCAAAGAAAGAGTGCGCGCATCGATTGACTCCGACACGGCAACACGCAAGATGACTCCTCTTTAGTCCTTAGCATGGAGCACTCAGCATTGCCATTTAGCTTCCATGGGATCATTGAAGTGCGCACAAATTGAGTCACCACGCCCATGAAGTTAGGAAATGGACCAAAGCTCCGGTTTGTTCGCTGGCCAGCTGGTTTGCTGACCCTGGCGAGGCTTTGAGCTGCCTCGTCTCAAGATACAATTCGTTCCCTGGACTCACAGCAACACTTGCTGGTAGGTCGCTTCCCACATCTGCCTGCGGTACTTTAGTGAAGCCCCATGGTCACGTCATCTCCTTGATCGCAGTAGATCAATATTGAAAATGGCTTATTGATGCCAGGTCAACTCATCAAGTATGCAAACAGTGTCTCAACTCACGTGCTCACCAGGCTGCCGCCTGAAGGCTGCCTGCTTCCTCAGCCACGGATGGGCGTTGAGGAGCTGCTGGCTTCAGGCCACAAAACAGCCGAAGAATTCGTGCATCCATGTTTACAAAAATTGTGTGTGTGTGTGTGTGTGTGTGGTGTGTGTGTGTGTGTGGTGTGTGTGTGTGTGTGTGTGTGTGTGTGTGTGTGTGTGTGTGTGTGTGTGTGTGTGTGTGTGTGTGTGTGTGTGCAAGTGACACTATTCCCCAACGGACACCCAGGCCTGTGATGAATGAAAATCCTGATCATGGAAAATCTTCCTGGATGACAAACAGAGAGTCTTTGTCAGCAAGGTGTATACTCAAGTAGCTAGGTGTGCATGTGCAAATGTTTGTTCAAAGGTGATTTGGCACCTGTTTCAAGTCAGAATCTTATGCTTCTTGTGTCAGATTGCCTGCGGCACTGCTGCTCATGCTGGGCAAATGACACAACTGTGTTCAAAGTATTCAATATGGTCCTGCTGCCACGATTTGAAGCAGTCTGCCAATATATATATATATATGTCTCTGTGTGCGTGCTTTATCTCGCGCTACAGACTCTTTTGGCCCACAGCACCTGCACCTGTTGACCCTTCTGTGACGCGATGGCCGCCTCGACTCCATTGGTCTCTGGCAGCATAGCAAAGCACCTCCTGAACAATCGAGTCATCTGCCGTCTGCAGTTTGATCATTCAGAAGAATGCGTGGCCAGCCGGCCCAGGACCTCCAGCACTCATGCTGTGGCTTTGGGGTTCAGCCAGTCGAGGTCTGCCGTGAAGTGGCCAAAGACATCGAACCATGATAGAAACAGTTGCCAGGTATTATTTGTGCTGGTTTGCACCATCCTCACACGGAAGCTGTCAAAATAAGTGCCCGGGAAGACATCATCAGGAATATCAAATACCGTGCCTTTTCTGGACAAGCGCTGCCCTGTGACCCGAAGGAGCTCCTGCCACTCACTACCGGGAAATGGACGCCCTTCAAACGCAAATGACTGACAAAAACAGCCGTCTGCGTTCAGCCCATGCTTCAGACCGACTGCACAAGGGCGCAGCCTGTATCCCACGGGCGTCACTGAAACCCATGGGTACGCTTCGCCGTTCAATGTGCCAAATACTTGAGTATCGAACTCAAACAGCAGAGTCCTGTCGCTTGAAGTCCTACTTTCCTGCGATGAAAGAGAGACCTCCAACTCCATGCCTTGCTTTTTGAGAAAGGCAAAAATCCCAGGTTTGCTCAAAGGCGCACAGCTGGCAATAAAACCTGGAGCATCGCTTGCAAGCCCTCCATGCTGCTCCAACATCAGGCAGCGCCGCACCAAGGCAAGCTGCATCTCGGCTTGCACTCCTTGACTCCAACGCAACGAGACTCCTTCTGGCAAACTCATCTGAGTAAGATCGCCCCCATGCGCAGCCTCCAAGGCTCGGCCGCTCCAATTGTGCCATTTGACTGCAGTCAGCCACCAGTTGTCTGGCAAGGAGCTGTGCTGACAGATCTCCTGGTACTGCTGGATCATGCGAAGCCGGTCAAGCTCCGAGGCGACGGGCACATGCTTGAGAAACATCACTGCGTTGCACACCTGGGCTCTGGCCAACACCTCTGCCAAATGTTCATCTTTTGCGGCAGCCGGCACACAAGTCCGGGCCACTTCCTCCAGAGAGTCTGGACAAGCCCAAACCTCCAAGATCTGCCTTGTCATGCTGTCAGCCCCTGTGGCCGTACACGCCACGGCTGTCACCGAGCGCAGAAGTTGCTGAATCTCGAAGTGGTCCGCCAACACGATTATTTCAATGGTGATGCTCTCCGGCAGTGGCTCCTCGCTGGCATAGATCCAGCCCATCAGCCAGGTCCAGGCTTCGTCGGAGCCGACTTCCGGTGCCCAGACAGACTCGCTGGAATCCCGGAACTCAGAGGAAAACTTGCTGCGAAGCACAGGACTGGCTACCGCCAGCAACAGCCGGTGAGCGTGCACCATCTTGCCCCCTGGGAGTCGAACCTGAATGTCAGAGAAGTCTGGATCACCCAGCTCGGCCCCCACACCAGCAAACCCATGGCGCTCAATGGGATTTGCCATGTGAAGCAGTGTGACAACCTGAGCCAGAATGTCTGGCTAACAAGTACACAAAAAATACCATTGTGTGTGTACATGTCTGGGAGAGAACGGTCCTCTCTGAGCTAGGTGCACTTAACCATGGTAGAGCTGTGGACGCAAAGTGCTGCCAATTGCATCGGCTCATGTGTGCATGTATATCGCAGAATACGTATAATATCTGTGTCTTTTGCTTCGTTGTCAGCTCTCCGTGTTCTCCTCGCAATCTGAAGTAAACCCAACCTAATGACCTGCACGCCATCGAAGCAACCACTCTGCCACTAAACCCGAGCTCCACAACCCATCAGCGACCAATTCCCAAGCAGCAGAAATAGAAGCAGCGAATCGCCGCGTCCGAGCGGCTTCAGGGAGTTGAACTCCTCCAGCTGCCAGGTGAATTCGAAGCCCCGCTTGGCGGCGTTGTGCGCCACGTAGCGCACGCAGCCGCAGGAGACGTAGGGCTCCGTGGCGCTGGGGCGCACAAAGAGGATCACCTTCCTGGGTGGACTGGGAAGACATGAGAGGGTAGGTGGATAGTAAGTCAGTGATCCATGGCAGATTCCTCCATGTAATGTGTCTAGGCCCTAGTGTGACCGTGTGGCTGCTCGAACTATGAGGAGGATCAGTCGAAATTCTACGCACTTCTGCGCTGTCTTGCTGCTTGGGACGCAAATGCGATCAGTCGATCTGGAGCCCGAGCCAATGCTGCCGCAGCGGCGGTCTGCTTGCCTTGTCCAGGAGGCGCTGGCAAATGGGAGAGGAGGCTGTTGGCTTCACACCCCCGACATACCAGGAGACCTGCTTTCCTGGCCGCCAACCGGGACTAGAATGGAGCAGCTTGCTTGAATCTTTCAGCAGCACTGGGCCGTTGATACTGATTTCAGCATGGCAAAAACAACGGCTATGACGATGATTAAAAAAATAAATAAAAAACATGTGCTAAGCCGAAGCAACTCCCAGCTGCATTCAATTTGCCAACATGTTGGAGTCATCAAGCGGAACTCGACATTTCACTGAGATTGACCAGGCTGAAAAGACTCAACCGCTTTGCATTAGTCAACTTCGATCCACCAACAAAACAGCTCCTCTCCTTCGGATTGATCAGAATTGGATCGGGTTGAGGCGAAATGCCGCGCCTCCGTCGGTGAAGCTGTTCTCGAAGCTGCCCCCCACCGCATTGACCCAAAGGAAGACCGCGTTTTTCCACCTGAGCAAACGGGCCTTGATCCAAAACTGCACCCTCCTGCAAAAGGGAAACCAAAGAGCGCCCAGTACATTTCAATCAACCGAAGCATGTCGCTGTGTTACAAGCTATGAGGATAGTGACGCAAAAGCGCTCACGAAGCCACCTCTTCGACAATGATTGACATTTTGTTTGCTGCGAACTTCTTCCCCCCCCCCCCCCCCACGCCCACCCACACACACGCACGCACGCACGCACGCACGCACGCACGCACGCACGCACGCACGCACGCACGCACGCACGCACGCACGCACGCACGCACGCACGCACGCACGCACGCACGCACGCACGCACGCACGCACGCACGCACGCACGCACGCACGCACGCACGCACGCACGCACGCACGCACGCACGCACGCACGCACGCACGCACGCACGCACGCACGCACGCACGCACGCACGCACGCACGCACGCACGCACGCACGCACGCACGCACGCAC